ATCTCTAGTCTCAGGATCAGGAGCAGGCGATTGATACGTCCAGCGGTAACAAAGGGGAAGTAGGTATGTTAATTAGGCAGACAATTAGGCAGTCAATTAGACTCATATTTGAAGTCCAAAAGCCTAATTTTAATGCACAAATTATAGGACTAATTGGATTATTCAAAAAAGTTAACCGTCAACGTGAAATAACCTAAAATTTAACCGTCAACCTTCAGAACGGACCTATTTTTAACCGTCAACCGTCTAAGGGATCCCACCCTCCCTCCGTAGAGACCCTCAGGAAAGGACAGAACGTCCACTGAGGTTTAAATATACTGAGGTTTACAGTACATTCGTGCAGTGTGTTTATTCGCCAACTCTGATCAAATAAACTAAAGCGGCCTTCACACGGCAAACTTAAGTTGGCAAACTCGAGTTGACAAACTTCAACAACTTGGCAAACTCGTGCCTTCACATGTCAAACTCGCGTCAAATCACAACACACGGTAATTTGCAACATGGCCGACTTAGTGCAGTAACACTCACTTAGAACAGTGAAACAGAAGAAGAGAAGAGAAGAAACAGAAAGCGGTGGAGAAATAGAAAGGTTTGGACGAAACCCAGTTTGTCCGCTAGCTCCTCCATTTTCTTTTGTTTATATTTAGTATCTTTGTACGCTTCAGATGAAACGTCCCACACAGCCGGACAATTGTGAACCTTGCTGATAAATTAAAATGCGGCCTCACGTTCATCTTGACTGGCGTCCACCATTTTGTGAAATGTCACGCAAATAAATCACGTGAATAGAGCGCGTAATTTGGTTGGTTGACAGTTACCAACTCATGTTTGCCAATCATTCACACGTCAGATACGAGTTTATCAACACCAAAATGTCGGTGAAAAAGTTGGCGAGAACAGAGGCAAGTTCTGTTTGACGCCAACAGTTTGCCAACATGTTTGCCGACTGTTTTTGTTCCGTTCACACACACCAACTTGAGTTTGCCAACACGAGTTTGCCAACTTAAGTTTGCCGTGTGAAGGCCGCTTAAGTTTATCTGTCCTTCTCAAACTCATTAATAATTCATCAAGTTAAAAACGAAGAAAATCAAAACCGGTTTGGAAACTTGGTCTTAATTAGCAAAGATTTTGACGATTTTTGTTCTCCGTTTACTCCTCGGGACAGTGTTTCATCGGCTATCCAAACACCTCGAATTTCGTCAAATATCCGCTGCGGATCGTAGTTTCAGCCCTCTTCTCGGTATTTGGATATTTCGGTGAAACACTGTCTCTCGTGTTTGATATAGTATGTCAATAACTATGAATTTTCTTTTTTTTTTTTTGCCACTGGCAGCCACCGACGACTGAGAAGTTTTGAAACGACCAGAGCAAAATGTAGCGCCATTTTCTGTACTGCTGCATATAGTTGTATTTGTGCAGTACGAGATCCTGTCGTCTAGATTGATTATAAAGCGGACGTTGAAGGGCGTAACAATTTAAAGGGCGTTTGACACCCTTCTGCACGTGTGCCGCAATTTGATTTTTTTATCCTACGGTACAGTTTTCAAAGTTGATATTTGTGAGAAAAATCCTTCCCCATCGACCCTGTGAGGCGTGTGAAAATGATGTTAATACTGACATTGAAGAACTGTTTAGTCATCATGAACGATTTAAACGCGCATATTTTGTGTTTTGAGTTGAATACCGTCGAGAAATACGATGTCCTCGAAAGAGAAAAGGAAGAGGAAGAAGAAGAAGAAGAAGAAGAAGAAGAAGAAGAAGAAGAAGAAGAAGAAAACAACCAAGAGAGATGGGGCGACGAACCCCGGGAACTTTATATAGCTGCAGACCAATGATGTGTATGCAAGCTGGAAGAAAGTAAAGCCTGATGTGCATTTATTCGACGGACACGGCCTTCACACAACAAAAGGTATATTCTTTACAAACAAAAGGTCAAAAGCTGGCGAGTGAAATTTCAAGTTCGCAATTTAAACAGCTTTTAAAATCGCATCCTTTGCGGTTTGGACAACTCATAAAATTATGTTTTTTATTAACTTCAGACTTGCAGAGCGTTGAATACCGAAATGACGCCGTGAAATAACCAAAGTGGCTGGTTGGCTCAAAAAAAAAAAAANCCTCTAGTAGATCAAAGGCGAGAACCAATCAAAATGCGAGAATAACTTGCGTTATTATATAAAACTCGATAGAAACACGGTACATGTTTTCTATTTCTTAAATAGAAAACATGTACCGTGTTTCTATTGAGTTTTAGTATAAATCTACTAGTGTTCTATCACGAATGCCGGTCTCTGATTGGCTAAGCAACTCACTATCTATTCTGTTGTTTTTCTGTAAGTAGTGTGCGATAATAAAAAACTGAAAAAACTGTGATAGATAGTGAGTAGCGTATCAGTGTGCACTTGTTAACGAAATGACGGCCGCTTGTTGGCGTTTTCGAAGTGTCTGTAAAGATGATTTATATAAAGTTTTGGACGACTAGTAGAATTATACTAAAACAATTAGATTATTTGCTCTCGATTTCTATGCGTGATAGTTTTCTCGGGCTGCGCCCTAGTCAACGATTACGCGATAGAAATCGAGAGCGAATAATCTAATTGTTTAATAGAAACACGATTTTAAAGTAATCAGTCCGCATTTTCTTAGGGCTGTTTAATCAAATTATTACTGTCCGTTGATATTCGAATGACTAAAACTATGCACAACTATCTTTACTTTTAAATGTCTTGGCCATGTTCATTTTTAAACGCTGCGGAACACTGGTGGTAATTCCGCTAGCTACCAGTAACACGGGCGCTCGTATTTTGGAATCTTATAACAGAACTGCAAAACATCCCTATAACTGGAATGCCAAAATCCTGCGTTAATCTCCATGCGCCATGGTCACGGGAGATATAGTTACCGTAAAAGTTACGTCAAGCTTGTATCTTAGAACTTCTTGTGTTCGTAAGACCCCGTAGGAGCGTTTCTGAACACTGGAATGGAATGGAGTGGACTGATCCGAAATGGGCCGGAATAGCACAAGGGTGACCGGAAATGAGAAAGAAATATATTGGAACTACTTGAAATGACACTGCTTTTGACCGTAATACCGAATGTCGGCCCAATCCGGTCTTACTTCAACTCGTTCGGCACAATCCAAGCTATCCGAGTCCATTCCGGTCCTGTCTGGTACATATCTTTCAATCTGCTACACTCCATTCCGTTCCGTTTTGACAGAGGTTTACCCTTCCTCATTTCGCTTTTCGTTGAAATTCACCTCAATCAAACATCTGAAAACTCTTATCGAATTTCAACCTGCTCAGATCTCAAGATAGCCTTCGAACGCACACGTATTTCCGGCTGTCAGTTGGCTCGGAAATAAGTCTGCGTTCGCAGGCTAGTCTTAAGGGGGTTGAAGAGAGTATTTGCTCGCGTACTATATATGAATTTTGCCGACTCTCTTGAACTCCCATTCTCCTTGGCCTTGTTTGAATGATAGTCGTTAAGATTTAAACCCTCTTCAACTCTCGGAGACTCTTCTCCTCAGTCAATCGTGCATGTATGGCAGTCTTGACAAAATTTCAATCATCGGGAGCTGTCTAGGATTAGAATTTCAATAACGATATCATAACAGGCAACTCCTTTATTTATAGAAACAACCACGAGGCTAAGATTTTTGTTACGTATATTTGTTTAAGTTAGTGTTATATATTTCCTTGATTGTTTTCTTCGATAATTTATTTTTTCTGTTTTTTTCGTGGCGTACCTGTAAACTAGCTTTTTAGCTAAGCATGCCGACCTCGTTAAATATATTGATTGATTGATTGATTGATTGATCATTGACTGGACAAAAAGAATCGCTCAAAAACGTAAACAAATGCGAAAGCTATCGTAGTCGAAATAAACTGAAACAAACCGGAACGGACCGGATAGACCAGAATACTGAATAGCAGGTCATTCCAGTCTTATTACGGTCCAGTTTTTGTACCATTCCCGTCTATCTCGATCCATTCCGGTGTATTTCTGGTCTTTTCCGGTCCATTCCAGTTACTCCTGCCAATTCGGGTCGATTCCGGTCGCTGAAATCTGTAAATTGCGATTGAAATAAGAGAGTACGTGAACAGCCTAGGACTATCATTATCGTTTACAGTAGTTTACAAACTTTCATATAATTTAAACCGCAGGTGAACTGATTATTTGGGTTTGACCGCTGAGTGGGCTGAGTGCGGACAGAACCTGGACAGGAAGTTCTTCATTTAGCCCACATATAATTTCCCGAGCAAAGTATATAGCTCAGGTCAAACAATAGTTGCTATTGCATGGTTCTTCTGATCTGGCCCTTTTAAATGTTTGATGAGCCTTTTTTCCCATCCTTTCCTCTCCACGCTGTCAGAGTAATCGAGAAACGTTCTTGCTCGTAGGGGTTTGGGTAACTGTTTGCGGTCCGTTCTGTCAAGTCTGATGACAATCACTGAACAGTCACTGTTCTGAAAGCTGCGCTGTATGGCATAGTCAAGCTCTTGCTTGCAGTATTTGCTAGATGCGTAACTTCCGGACCACACTGCCAACACTTTGCGGCTCTGGTACACACTTTCTACCATGCTTTCCACGAACGCCTTCCCTAGCTCAAAGTGCACATGGTCAACGCAGTAATTGACTTGGTTTTCACGCAGCAAACGCAACAGTTCTCCGTCCACCCAGGGGAAATCTTTTCTACTGTACGTAACAAATACGTCGTACTTAAAGTCATTTTCGTCCATATCCGGGGGAAGTCTCACTGAAAAAGAAAATTCCATGAGATTTTATGTTAAACTTACTGGCTATAAATAATAACTGATTATATGAGTGCACGGCTGAATATTAGGACGTCACGGAGCGAGGCGCGGTGGCCTCATGATTACCGCGTTGGAATACAGGTCGAGCGGTCTGCGTTCGAGACCTAACCAGTCTCTGCGTTGTGTTCTTCAATCGGTCAGATGCGTTACTCTAACAGGCAGCTCTCTACACCCAGGGCCGGGTACGGTTCTCCAAAGCCCGAGAAAGCTAACCCAGGATAAGCGAGAATACTGACTTGAGTTTCGTAACTTTGCGATGACGTTTTCTGTTCATATTGTTTGGCCTTCTATTTTGAGTTTGAATGATCTCAAACTACACAAAACATACGCCGTAAATAACATTTTTATACACGACAAAATAAACTTCGGTTAACTTTTAGTCTAGGGTTAGCTTTGACCGACTTCCGAACAACCCGACCAAGGTGTATAAGGTGAACCGGCGAATTGAATTGTGCTGGAAGGTAATCCTTCGATGGACTAGCATCCATAAATACTCCTAGCAGCTTATTGTTGGTGAAACCGGGATGACCACTTTGCACGACGCAGACTTTAGCTTGCTGGATATTAGGACCACGTTCCTTTGGAGCAGTTGGTTTCTCCCCTGGCGTTGGAGAAACCAACTGCTCGTAGGATAAAAACCACGCGGTCTAATGACAAAACAGCTACGGCCGTTTCCTTTCTGAAAGGTTTTTGTGATACGAAGTGACTATGGGCATTCTACCCGCCAGGTATTGAATATTAGTCCAACTCAAAGTTAGCTGCCACATTAAATTCGCTGGTAAAAAGCCGTGGCTAATTTTACCCTAATGCGTTCTTAAGTCCGTGATATGAGTCGTTCTGTACGAAATTGCGGTTTAGTTACGCCTTCTTTGACTTACATGAACCAGGCGGCTGACGCTTTCTTCTACGCCAGAGCGTTATAATAACTGCCATCGCTACCAGTCCAGCCAGCAATCCCAGAGCAATAAACAGCATCGTTCTCAATAGATCCACATCGGCCATTGCGTTTGATGAAGGAGATGGCTCTCCGACGAAGTGGGTGGTCTGTGATCTTGTTGGTCTGTTGTGAAGAGAAGCGGTAATTTCCAGATTATATACGATGTTAAAATCAAGAGGTCATATTGGTCTCTTGGTGTTAATATGGACATAGAAATTAGCACAGATGTGCATTGCTTTTGGAATATACCACCCTAGATTCACTGATAGAGAATGGATTTGCTTAGGACTTTTTAAAGTGTACTGAGTTTGCTCAACAATTCAGTCAAAAGTCAGTGTGTAGTGGTGTTTGTAATTTAATTGAGGGAACTACTAGTTCTAAAATTAGGTGAGAAGTTTATATCCCCCGAGCGTGGAAAGGGGGGAGGGGGGTGGACTTCCATATAAAACGGACGGGGGTGCTCGTCGCAACTTGAGGGTTGAAAAAGCGGTTTTGGTACCTTTAAGGGTGTTCAGCCTCGAAAGGTCCACAGCGGGAGCTTTCGCGGTAACCTTTAGGGTTTTGATCAGAAAAATATTACAGGAGATATTTGACAATCAACTTTACTAGTAAAGTCAGTTAGTAATTGATACCACGTAGGGATGAAAACAATTTCAAGCCACGCCCACATAACAAGATCTTGGTACGTCTTAGGGGTTCTTTTCAAAATTTCCGACGAGCACCCCCGTCATTATATCGAAGTCACCCGAGGTTTAAACAATGAACATGATACAAGCCGCTTTATTAATAATCATTCTGTAAGCTGAAAACCCTTACCTAATCCAATGGGGAGAACTTGGTTTGCCAGTTGTGGACTTGTCCTCTGAGTTAGTAACAACGACAACTTTATTTTATTATTATGACTCGGAAATTTATTAATTATTATTATACTCGCATATTTATTATTTATAGTTATTGCCTGTGATTACAACATATTTAAGTTGTGGTCAGAGTTTGCACTTGTGCGTTCAGTTTTAGACACCGAAAGTTCGTAAGAAGCTCACTCTGCAGATTTGAGACCCAATAATCCGTCGCGAAAAATTCCTCTACTCCCTCTCTCTCTAGTCTCCACTGATTTGGCGCCAAAGTTTAGTCAGATATTTTTCAACCGACATTATCTGTTCCGAGAAGCGAACAGTTTTCCGAGAGCGTTGCTTTGAGGAACAGATAAGTCCGGGGACAAATATCCCAGCGTATTTTTTGCACCAAATGGGGACTATTGTGTTAATTATCCTTCAAATGTTTTTGCAACACTCGCAGTTTTCAAAATTGGGGAATATCGCTCTGATATTCCCCACTGTTAGCTGGGGCATATTCAGTCACGTGATGGGCTTAAACCAATCGCGAGCGAGCAAAAATATTTGATGGATTACAAAAGACCGATGAGTTCTTATTTAGGTTTAGCTTTCAAAGAACGATATAATTTCTTCTGATTATAAGCTTACCGGAGAGCTTCATTTTATGATACTTGTGTTTAATTTAAAGGCTTTTTGTGTAATTTATTTGACCACTGAAAGAACTTGGTTTTGCTTCATGTCGTTGCGTTTTGGTAGTTCCACCATTCGGTATTCTTTGACGCATCCAAATGTGGCCAGTGAAATCCCTATTCCTTGATCCAGCAAAGGAAACGAAAATTTGTTCGAGAATTCAGGAAAATGACTTTCGATACGAGTTATGAGGAGGCTCGAAAAATCGAAGGTTCTAGAGAATGGAATTCCACTAGGCAGACATAATAAATAAATAAATAAATAAATAAATAAATAAATAAATAAACAAACAAACTTACCATTGGCATCAGCAACGACATGAACCCTGAAGTTTTTCAGTCTCAAGCCATGTGAAGTGTTAAGAACGCAAGAATATTGTCCACTGTCATTCAATTCAGCATTATATATAGTTAAACTGATCTTTTTCGTATTAATAGATCGTTCACTGCGACCAAGCCACTCATCGTTTACTTCATACTTGCTGTTGGTTTGTTTTCGACTTCCATTAAAAAGCCAAAAGGTGTCGACATACGATGCTTCGGGGTAAACTGCAATACAACTTATCGTCCTGTTTCTCCCGTTTGTAATTTCGACAGTCGAGAGAGATTGGTTCAGTTTTGGACCAGGTACGTCATGCACGCTTACTGATATGTTCTGTGCACTTATAATGGTAGTGGAATTGGCGCCACAAGTGTATGTTCCACTTTGGGCGAGTCCCACATGTTTCAGTGTCAATGGCAAGCTATGTTCTTTAACTGTGTTACTTAATGCTTTGTTACCACGTGCTTTTTGTACGAGCATAGTTTCCATTAGCCGTCCGTTAAAAAGCCAAAATGTCCAGACGTCGTCACCTTCCGTAAAGTTTACTTGACACTGAAGAGTTATTGAGCCTCCTTCATGTAACGTGATGTTTTGTTGCGTGGTCGTAACGTTCAGCACTGGCAGAAGAAAAAGGAAAGATAGAGTTATATATGACATCCCTTCCGGCCACTTTCGGGCGATTTTAGGCGTCTGCAGTGATTTGGAAGCTAACATGTGTCTTTAAAATAGGAATAGAGCCGTCATTTAACGAGTATTGTGAACAAGGCATTTTTGTCGCTATCTTTAGTTCATAAAAAAAAAAACAACAACAACTGAGAGGACTGGCCTCAAGAGCCATCTGCTAAGCTGTTCCTGTAAGTTAAAAGAACTTTGCATAAAGGTAACATAAGTAAGTGAAACTCACCCTTCCTGTAAAGCGACAATTCTATGAAATCTTCACCAACGTTTGCCTTTCCAAAGTCACTTACACTGGCCTTACAGGCGTATTTACCAACATCTTTTTCTGAAACACTTGTAATCTGCAGGGAAAAAGTCCCTTTTCTAACTTCTTTTCGCCAGTGATACTTCACTGTAACATTCTTGTTGGTATCTTCTTTGATAATTTGGCCGTTAAACTTCCACTGCACCTCAGTATCGACCTCGTGTACTTCACGACCGCGACATTTTAAGGTGACATTAGAACCTTGTCTTGCTACTACATTAGCGTGGACTGCTTTCATCTCAGGAATTATGGCCTTAGTATCTGTTAAAAACAAAAGGGGGTTTTCAAAGAAAACTTTAGTATAATTTTGTACGTCCACCGAGAGGGGCTGAATTCCTCATTAACAGCACTTGATCAGGGACCCTGCTTCAGGCCTTTTAAAGTGTGGAGACCGGTGCTTTTATACCTACGCATGCAGGTCGTGATGAGGTTACCAATGAAGGCTTAATCTGGGTGGAAGACTTTAAACTTCAATTAAGCGAGAACACACAGGACAAGAGTTGGGAGGCCCGTGCCTTATGGTTAGTGCGCTCGACTCCGGATCGCGCGGTCCGCGGGGTTCGACCCTGGTCGGGGACATCGTGTTGTGTTTTTGGGCAAGAAACTTTACTCTCACGTGCACAGTGCCTCTCTCTACCCAGGTGTATAAATGGGTACCGGCGACCTTATTATTATTATTATTATTATTATTATTAATTTTTTATTTTATTTTATCAATTTCTGTTGATTTGAAGTTACTTACAATTTTATATGAACACACTGCACATAATTCATAAACAAACAGACACGGAACATCTTACATTTACATACACACACCTCAGTTCTTCTTAACTCTTTTCTACTTTTAGATATGACACTCAGCACAGTGTAGCAACAACACGAGATTCTATATCAGTCTAATTGTTTTTGTTCTTGCCCCATTTCATATTGTGAGCTTTTAATTTGTTATTGATTTGATTTTGCGATCATTATCTCAAGCTGGTGAATCGTTTTAATTTTGGAATTAAATACTTTAATTGAAGGGAGAGATTTGTTCTCATCTACAAGAACTACTGCATGTTTAGCAATTATCAAAGTATGATTAACAAATAACTCGTCCTCGCACCCTCGGATGCCAAACGGTATATCTTTGTCAGAGAGGTGTTCTATCTTAACTCCTTGATTATCAAGCCGGCGACCTTAATGCTGCAGGTAACCCTTCGGTGGCCCAGCATCCCATCCAGGGGGGAGTAGAAATACTCCTAGTCACTTCACACCACAGAAACCGGGATAAGCTCCAGCCTGCTGGGCCACTTGGCTCGTATGCTGACTTTACCTGTGCCCTTTCACACAGGACAAGAGTTGAAGAAAACTGAATTTTGTTTCTATCCTTTGTTCTATTCTATTTCGCTTCGCTCAGCCGAATAGGAAACATTTCTGTTATAATTAGAGGACACAAGTAATACATCAAATAATGGAGGGAGCCGCCAGCAATGATCGAGGTTATTTACAAGAATCTGAGACACGCTGAATACAGGTTACAAGCCAAAGAATATAAGAAAATGTCACACGCTATTTTCAACAACGATATAAACAATAAGGAAAAAACAGCCTCGAGTAAACTGGTCAGCGTCAAGTGGTGTGATATTTACAAGGAGTGGTATATAAAAGCCTGATTATCCCAGTGGGAACTTATACAAAGCAACCTAATTAAACACCTAAAAGAAATACATTTTAAATATGATACCACCCCTACGTTAACCATGCGTTCAAGGTATCTCAAGAATATGAGGACAAAAGAGCCAGACCAATTGTGAAGGGAAAAAAATTCCGGTTGACCAGTTGATAGGTTCGATGGTAAATCATTTTCTTTTCTACACGTGGTGTTTAAGTGTTCTTGACATCAGAGGTCACATGAATACATTTTCACTTCTTAAGACATCCTGTTTGTGAAGAGTGGGAGCATCGTTGCACTTGTCGCTATATACAGTAAAATTTATGTGACTGAGTACTTCCTAAGTTGGAAGCAATCATTGAAGAGAATTGAAGAATAATGACAAAATTGTAGTCTGATCTAGTCTTGGTGTTGGAATTGCTAAAACATTTTCTCTTGGATGTTTGCATTCTGCAATCAGGTTAAAGATATCCAGTAAAGATTTACATTGGCGAATCGAATGATATCTTGCAATGTGAAGTGAGTCGGTAAAAAATTAACTTTTCCACAAAACCAATAAATTTCCCGAATTTTAACATGTACATGAATTGTGGCTTGTGAATGAATTAATGACCTTGTTTTAACGACTGTCACATTCGCTTATGTGTGTTCCAACTAATCTCTTACTAAGGTATTTAAATACTTTCATTCTGATGTAAATATCAGTTATTACGAAACAAACTTTCACCTTGGTCACTTAGGAAGTGCTAGAGCAACAATCATTGTCGATCAAATTGACGTATCACCTGCCATTCGAAAATGCGAGACCAAGGCGCCGCTTCCTTAAATTTCATCATATGCCGCAAATGATGTGATAATAAGTCCACCTGTTAAATTGTGCGTGGCAATGTCGGTCCGTAAATGACTTCTCAGAGTATTAAAATCTACCAACTTCCTGCCTGAGTTGCCTCTCCTAACACTGATTAAAGCGGAAAATCGGTTTAGTGACAAAAGAACGACGGGCAAGAACTGAATCGAACAGTTGTTATTTTAACAGAGTATGAAAAATTAACCACTAAGACATAGCTTTCTGGACAAGGCGTCTTGTTAGGCACTGCATCAAAATAACGCACCCTATTTGTTTTTTAATAGTTTCAGAACGGTATGTTCTGAAAGCGTTTGTGGCGAAGACTCCCCGAGATTACTGGCGACAATCGACTTGAAAACTCAGACGGCACGTCAAATAAGTTGTGGTTCGAACCGAACAGCAATAGCCGTGACCCAGACAGTAGCGTCAACCCTGCTCTACGTCAAACGCTTTTAATAAATTTTTATACTTTCTTTTCAAGTAACGAGCCTTGTTTTGCGACGTGAAAGATTCGTCATTAGAACTGCACGCAGGCCAAAAGCAGTAATTCTGTAGCCGAAGCACATACGCTCGAACTACGTTTGCGTTCAGTGTGCGCCTTCTGCGCTATGAAGTGTAACTGTTCGAGCGGTAAATGCGGATGTACGACGATTGGAAATTGAAACGATGAGCATATGTTGTAAAGAAGTGAAAAAGAAAAATAATAATCGGCAGTTTGCCCGTCGTGTTTTGATGTTATGTTAACGGATTTGATCAGAATGTTTTTTCGATCGGAAATTAAAACGATTTTACAGATATAAAAGCTAGCGCGGGACGTTAGTATGTGTTACTAAAAAGTAAAGAACATTGAAATTATAAACAGCCTTCTATTTGTTCTATAGACCTCGATGAAGCAGGCCGTCAAAGAGAAGGATTTGGCATCAGATCATGCTAAATTTCGAGTGATTAATGTTGTCTAGTTTAGAACCGCGGATGAAAAAGGAACAACAATTTAAAGAACCTCGCTTTAGCCAAGTTTCGCGGTCGGTCAGGAACTACAAGGAAACAGAACTGCTGCTTAGAGGTCAAACCTATACTGTGAGGTTTCCGTCTCCATATGCACACAAACATTTTAATGTAACTACTATATTAACTTAGTCAGTTGCATTAGCCTTTTTTCCTCATATTTTCGTTCCTTACCTGAGATTGACAACAGCGCTATAAGTGAAAAAGCTGCTGAGTAAAGTTTCATGTCTCCCAGCATGTTGTTTCCTTGCTCGGGCGCTTTCCGCCTTCACGTCCTTTGTCGGCACAGGTTCAGAATGATTTCATTTTGCAGGTCCGTGATTCGTTCTTAAATATTTTCGTTTTCGAAGTCTGAACATGTCTGCTTTAAGATTATGAAAACAAAGGTGGTGGTGGGGGAGGGGGGGGGGAGTG